GCTTAACGACTGAGCCACCCAGGCGCCCCACAAAACTAATTTTTAAAAGCCCTAGTGTTTTCTTTAGTTCTTTCCAGTGATTCAGTGATCTTTTTGAACACATTAAATATTTAACTTTAAATCCCTTTCCTGTAGGCTTTATGTCCTGCTCTTCTCCTTGATTCCTAAACATTTTCCCATTTGATGCATTTATTTTCCATCTCTTATTATTCCGTAACTGTGCTTAGTGTTGGCACGATACTTTCCGTTAAAGAAACTCTATTTTCATTAAAGAAATACTCAATTTTAAGGTAAGAAAGGAACAGATTTTGAACAGCAAAGAAGTTATTTTGCACTCTCAGTGTTAAAGAGGAAGTTACCTCATTTTTAAAAACTCAACACACACTACCTGACCAGTTGCTAGTGCCAGACCTTGTAAGTGGAACTGCAAGCAAAACAGAGTGGGTAAGGTGATATTTCCAGCACTCAACGAGTTCACATTTTATTTAATTTCTTTCTTTTTAAAGATTTTATTTATTTGACAGAGAGCGAGCGAGAGAGAGAGAGCACAAGCAGGGGGACTGGGAGAGGGAGAAGCAGGTTCCCTGCTGAGCAGGAAGCCCGATGTGGGGCTCGATCCCAGGACCCTGGGATCATGACTGAGCTGAAGGCAGACGCTTAACGACTGAGCCACCCAGGCGACCCCTACGAGTTCACATTTTAGAAGCAGATAGGCAAATTCTCTGTAAAGCAGCACCTTATGACTAACCTAAAACTCAACTTAGTGCATGCTCTCTGCTTGATCTGCTTTTTAACAGGGATTGTGATTATATTTAAAATAACATCTGTGGTTCAGTGTTGTATATTCATATAAATTCAGTATGTTCAGTGTTATGTGTATTGTGGTCCATAGAATTGTGTTGTATATATTGTGTATATTATCTGTCCATAGAAAGGACACTAGAAGGGCATATACCGAAATATTTACAGTAGTTATTTTAGGGTAGTTGGATTATACTTACTTTTATTTTTTGTTTTTGTTTCCTAAGGTTTCTGCATTAAATGTAGATTAATTTTACAATTAGAAAATGTTACACAAATGAACACTGGCAATTTGAAAAAAGGTCTGAAGTTCTCATATGTGTATTTTTTTAAACCCTAGTCATCATTCCCCGGATTGAACGTACCCTTGCTTATATCATCACAGAGCTGGATGAGAGAGAGCGAGAAGAGTTCTATAGGTTTGTTGGAATTGGCAATTATTGATCCTTTTTTGTTTTTCCTATTCCAAAGGCTCAGTTTGCTGAGAGACTGTTGGCTTACGTTCTTTAGAATTAGCACAGCCTTCATTTTTTTTTTTTTTTTAAAGATTCCATCTATTTGACAGAGAGAGAGACACAGCGAGAGAGGGAACACAAGCAGGGGGAGGGGGAGAGGGAAAAGCAGGCTTCCCGGTGAGCAGGGAGCCCGATGCGGGGCTCCTGGGATCATGACCTGAGCCGAAGGCAGACGCTTAACGACTGAGCCACCCAGGCGCCCCGCCTTCATTTTATTCTGATAAATGAGAAGCAAGACGTAATATGGGCGAAGGCTCTGGAGACCAATCTATGCCAAGTTTTGCATATATTTAAAATATGGCATCTCCAAAAAGTTAGCCCCTTAGGAGAAACTATTCATAGACTTGATGATTCTTTAAAATGAAATAATAATTTAGATCAGGTGTCTGCCTCATAAAAAGAAACTGGAATTAATCAACAACTATGTATTGCATGGTGAACATGTTCCAGGAGAAAGTATAAAGTACTTGGGGGCATTATGTAATAATATAAATCATACCACTCGAGAATTAGCACAGTACTCAGAGAAGTGAGGCATGTACATGAATTGGTTATGAACAATTGGAGCTGGTAGGGACAACAGATACTAAAAAGGTAGTATACAGAGGTCAGTGTGTCAGGTTCAGAGATGGTGGGAGACAGGTGAAGGCCTGTGTTCAGGGAAGACGTGGCCATCTGTGATTTATAATCTTAATTATAAAAGGTTATTGTGTTTCTGTCCTTCAGTGACATTCAGGATTGTGGTGATCCAAACTGATTCAAAATTTTAATAAATGTCTGATGCTTAAAAGGTGTTCCATTATCAAGGGATGGATTTCAAGGTTTGAGTCTGGGATAGGAACTTTTTAAAAAAAATTTACTGCTAAGAGTATCAGTCACATTCTTATGCTCAGATTGGCACATGGGATTGTCTTCTAAAAAGAGCTTTCTCTGCAGACATGTAGGACGTGGATAGTCTCCCTTCCCCCCACCCCTTCAAAGTCCATTATCAGCTTAAAATGTGTATATCCTACCTCAAATCTTTATTTTAAAAATGGATTATATAGATCACTGAAATTGAAATAAAAGTAAAATTTTGTTCTAGTTTGTAGGTGTTTATGATCCTTGTTACAAAACTAGCAGAGGTCAGATATACTTAGAACTGAAACAGTGTTCAGAAAATTCCCTCCTTTTGTTTTACAGATTAAAGAAAATACAGGAGAAGAAAAAGATTCTTAAGGAAAAATCTGAGAAGGACTTGGAGCAACGGAGGGCAGCTGGTGAGGTGATGGAGCCTGCTAATCTTTTGGCTGAAGAGAAGGATGAGGATCTTCTGTTTGAATAATCTTTCCCGCTCTGGTTCTTTCATAAGCTCTAACATGGCACCATTTTAATTCACGGTGTATAGGTTTGGTATGTGTGGCTATTTATTTTTTGGCCTAAGAATTTCACTGGTGGTAAAATTTCCCTGGATGTTGGTTATGGGACTACCTTTGCACAATCCTAATTCAACAACCATTTATCACATGAGATTTGTAGCCCCTACCCAGGAACCTGTAGAATTTATTCAGCAGAAGCAGTACCCTGCTCCTTGTACATTTGTTCAAGTGATCTGCTTACCAAGCATATTAGGAAATCCCCCTCAGGAAGCAGCAGTGGCCTCAGGCCAGCTATGGCTGTGGCCGCCTGTGTTCCCACCTACACCGACACCGTGGCACTGCTGTCTGAGATCGCTGCGGCCATCCTTGGGACCCTGGTACTTCTCTCCAGCTTTATGAAACCTTCACTGTTTGCCTTGCATGACAGGTCTCTGTCCTGTCTGTCATGAGAGTTCTGCCAATTTTAATGTGATTATGGTATAAACAGTAAAATGATTTAAAAGTGAATTGTTCCTTTTTTTTTTTTAATTTACTATCAGTCACGTTCTTATCCTCAGATTGGCACATGGGTTAGAGCTTCCTCTGCAGACATGGAGGACATGGAGAGTCTCCTCCTTCCCCCTGCCCCTTCATAGTACGTGTTTTCCTGATAAGCTTACTGGGATGATTGCTGAATTTTGGGGTATTCATAAACATGCCAGTGAGTTAAGAGGGGTTATTAATACTTTCTTTCCTAATCTAAGAAAAAATAATTCTCATCTGAGAGTAAGTAATAAGGTAACTTTTTATAAGCAGTAACACTTGCTGTTTTCCATTAAATAGGAAGATGAGGCATTTGAGTGGCCATATCAGGAGCTGACTGAGGTTTTTTCGTGCTGTTTGATTTGGTGAGCCATCCATGTTTACTCAGGCTTTCTTGTACCCAGTCCTGGGCATTTCTGAGGTGACTGCCTATGGAACAGTTTTGGGTAAAATTGTTAACACTTGGCTTATGAGTATTGTATTTAAGTCAATTGATATCGTAAGCATAGGCTTTTTAAAGTACCAAGTAATTTTGTGAACATTTAATACCTACTGCAGAATAATCTTAGTTATGTGCCAGGCCCTGCTTCAAGTGTTTTATTTATATTATCACAACAACCATAAGATATACATGTTATTTTAATCCCACATTTCACAGAAGAAAACTTTAAGGCCCAAGGAGCTGGAGTAATTGGTCCTAGGTCAAAAAGCTAGAAAGTGGTGAATCTGGGATTTAAATCCAGGCAGTCTACCTTCAGTGTTTTTATACCCTTCTAACCTTTCTTGCCTCCCCTATATTTAAAACTTTGGGTAAAGGTAAGATCTAAGGCCTGTCCTGGAGGAGCTGAGTTTTGGCAAACCCTGTTTTGAATCGGAGGTTTTATTCTGTAAGTAACTTCAGTAGTGATTGGAAAACCAACAGGTGAGTTCCTAAGCAGTTCAATGTTACCTATTCTCAAGGCTTAACATTTAATCCTCCCAACACCGGAGTGAGGTGTAAGTACTATTCTCTCCATTTTACAGATGAGGAAACTGAGGCTTTGTCAGGTCAGACAGCAGAGCTAGGATGCAGGCCTTGGTTCTTAAGCAGTATGTTCTGCCTCTCTAGGAGGCAAAAAATAGCTCGAAGGGTATGAGAGCCCAGATTACTTAATGGTTTTTCACTTAGGTAAATTCAGTGTTCACCTTCACCCGCCGAGGACAGAGAAGCATCTAGATTTCTCCTGTGGCTTCTTAAAGCTCTTTTTTATTGGCCTTGGCTAAACTCCCTACAAAACTGCGATGAATTTATGGTTTTAGCATATCGTTAACTTAGAAATCAGAAGAAAATTGTAAACCAAATTTGTTGCGTGGGGTGATGTGATCCATAGGGGAAGGGAATGATCATGAATAGAAAGCCAGATGTGTGTGTACGTGTGACCCTTTTTGTTGGTATGATTGCCTCCTTTGGGAGATCTAGAGTGGTACAGTAGAAAAGTGAATGTTATGTATTTGTCAACTCACATCCCTAGCCTTTGTCCCCGCAAATCCTTGGCTGCATATAAGTGGAATTTGCCCGAGTATTACATACGTTTTTTCCTAGAAGATGTTTAAGTTCCCAGTGTTACGCTATCATCTTTAATAAAATGTTTTTAAAACAAGGAAACAGAACCTATGTCTGTGCCAATAGGGGGCACTCCCCCACCATGAAGAATAAATTAAAAGGTATTTTATGTTTCACGCAGAGGTTCCAGTGGACTTATTTCTGGCAAAAACCTGCAGACCGAGTGGTTAGGTGAGTTGAAACCTTGACTAGCAGAGGATGTAAACACAGAACATACTCAATGGTTTTATTTGAAATATAATTTTACTTTGTTTTTACAATACAGTGTGCAGTATGACAACTCAAAAGAGTGCAGATACAAGATAAGAGTACAAAGGAGAATTAACAATAGATGTCAGAAAGGTTACCTTTTATTAAGGCTAAATCCCTGGTTTATAGTTTCCATACACATTCACAAATCTACATTCAAATTATTCCTTATCAATACTTATTCCTTAGGCCATGAGAAAAGGAGAAAGAAAATCCAGATACTACATTTCTCACACAAAGCAAATGTGGATTAGTCTAAATACTATTCTTTTCCATTTGTTCTGATTTAGGAAAATTTAGCAAAGGAAGGTATTTCCTTATTTGAACTACCCGTGCATTTTATTAGCTATTGCTATCATTCCTGTAAGTGGTTAAGACCTCCCCCACACTGGGGTCTCCAGTCAGAGCCGCAAAGGACAGGAAATGCAACTGGCCAGAGCGGCTGGACAACTGGGTGTATAGCAAGGCTTTTTTTTTAAGGAGGTCAACAACTAAGTTTTCACTTTGTTTAGGGACTGTGTTGAATATCAACACATCCATGTCACTGAGATGGAGAAAAGTTTGGGACATAAACATTTGTCCCTCTCCCATTGCTGATAAGGAGAGAACTGTAGGATTTCACTGACCCCCCAAATCTCTTGTCAGCTAAGAGTATACTATGACATGGCATGTGCCTGTGAAAGCACACGGCCCTCGTGTGGCTCTACGGTCTGCAGGGTAACTCAGGAACCAGCACAACAGCTACTTCAATCGCCAACCTTTTAGATCTTAGGGCCAAAAACAGTTGTCCGTTATGAAAAGCAGCTCATAAAACTCCATTGTCTACCATAGACTACCTTTCATTCCTTAAGAGAAAGTAAACTGGAAAACTGAAAAGATTAAGTGCTAATATTCCTTGGTTTTCTGTCCTAAACTGGAGTGTTTCAGATCTGAAAAGATAGTATGGCATTCCTTCCCCTGACCCAGGAATGTTACTTTCTTCCTAAGGAACGGTTATCTTGAAAGTACTTCCATATAAGACACATTGCAGCCGACTTCAAGGCCATGCAGATTTGAAGAGAAAAGGCAACGTAACTATCTACATTTGTTCAAGTAAAATTACATAGAAATCAAATATATACACAACGAGACAAACTAATCATTTACAACCATTGCTTATGTTAAATTAAGTGACAACTCCATGTTATTCCAGTGTTTAGCTTTGGGAACAGGTAATGCTGTAGCTAAAGTCATAAAAATAAAATCAAGACATTCACATTTGAGGTCATTTGACACACATCACACCATCCCTAAAGACTTGAAAAGACTACAAATTAACTTTCCATGCCAATTGCAGAAGCTGAATTTTATAGCTACAGCTATAGAGACAGTATGAAAATCCCATTAGCTTAAACATTTATGATTTAGCAAGCCATTGCATTCTGGTCGCTAAGAGGCAGAACTTGATAGGATAAAAACCTGCTTCTGTATGCTTAACTCCCCCCTCACCCCCATGTTCTTTTCCTATAATGTTCAAATGACTTTCAGGTCATCCTTTCCTTGTGATCTCAAAGTCAGTTGTTACAGTATTTCCCCTTGGATATAATTTTATTCCAATGCTGAATGAGTGTTACCAATGACCATTTGTCACCTATTAAATATTAGTATAGAGTACAGCAGCTATATTTATCCCAGAATTCCAGTTTATTACTTATATGTGGCACAGTCATCAAATTATACTGTGCTCACATATAAAAATGCAAAACTGTCAAATGTGCTATGTCCTCTCATGTATATGAAAAACGATTTGCATCATGAGGAAAAAACAGTTTATATGACCATCTGCCATTCATGAAAGTGTGACTTACACATTCTATTGTACTATGCAGATCAGAGAAGGAAGCAAGGTTATAGAATCACTTGTGATAATTTAAGCAAAAACTTCAGAAAATCATTAAAAAAATCAGCATATGCTATATATATTTAACTAGATCAGAATCTGTTGTGTGTGCAGTGAAATCTGATCCACAAAGTCTGAGCTAAAAAACTGGTGTTTCTAACGGAATGTTGTAGAATTAAAAGACACACAAATGAATTCAAGCCTAAAAGAGTAGCTTGAGACCAGTGGTGCCATTTTTTTTTTTTACATTTCAGGAAAATATTTCTGATGACAAAACCAGCCTTCTAACCAAATACTGTCCTGCCCAGTACACAGAAGCACAGCTCCCCCCACCCGGCCCCGCCATGAAGTCCTTTAAGTTAACTTAAATAGCATCAATATTTATAACTATGTGAGACATGGACCGTTGTGTATATATAGACAAGTTTTTTCATGGAAATAGGACCAGGCAGAAAAGATTTAGGTGAAAACAGAATTAAAAGGTTTTTTCATGGATAAAATGGAACTGGTCTGTTGAAAGCTTCCATTTAGAATCCCCAGAGGAGGCAAGAACCTCTAAAGCCACGTACAGAGAATAAAGACTGCTATGCACAAATTGCCTAAGGGAATTTTCTCACTAGTTTGAGATCAAAGAACAGGTCTACAGCTTATTTGGCCTGCCACCTCAGGGTCTTGCTGAAGTATCAGGGCTCTCTTCCTAGTGGCAGTTTGCCAGATCAAGTCCAATCATATCATAGAATGGATGTTTCCCTCACCTCAGCCAAGTGGATGGCACCCACTGAGGTTCAGTATCAAGTTTGTTAATTAACCTAAGCAGTTCCTGATAGGCTTTATCAAGATCTGAATTCACAATTGCTGTGTCAAAGTAGTGGCCATTGTTCTGTTCCATCTCTCTAGTCTTCTCAATGATCTCTCTCAACTCTTCAGGCTGGAAAAAGACAAAAACTGAGGTAATTCCATTCCTTACCAAAATACACAATGAGTCAGAGATGACTGAAGAACAAAAAAATGGCCTTCTATTGTTTGCTGTCTCAAAATATGCCACTTCAGGAGCTCCTCTTCAACCCGGTGATGGCCTCAGTGATTATCATCCTTTGCTCTGGTGTCTTCAGGACTCATACTGAATCATTTGGGACTCAATATAACCTGTTTATACTGCTACTCAGGTTTTCATGTATTTCTGTTCTACTCACTAGAGGCTTCAAGGCAAAGAATGTTACTTAGAATTCCCTACAAACATTTGTTTTCAAGCATTTTAGAACATCATAACCTTTCCCTAAAAAATAACATCTTTTGTAATACAGAGTGAAACTTTCAGGTTGAAGCAAGGTTGGTAGGACCCCAAATGCCATCTACTCTTGGCTTTATAAAGATCTGCTGTCCTTTAGATCTATTACAGAGTTAAGCAGGGTAAACATTATGGGAAAAGAAAAGGATCAATAGAATGGGTATCTTTATGAAAACACTGCCGGTCAACCCAAGATTTAATAATCTAATGTTCTAGGGGAATTAACTTGGCTTTAAACTGCTTCTCTGTTTTCAGTACACCAAGTAGGTTTTAGAGATGCAAAAAAAGTATTCTAAGAAGAGTTTGGGAAATGATACAGAGCAGGCTACTTTAAAACACTGGGTAAAGGAAACAGCTGTTTCACATAGATGAGCAAGTAGTAAGGTAGGGTGTGAAACTTACACAGAATCCTCTGATTACCAGGCACATGTGTTCAAGAAAGTAAAACTGCCCCCAAATCACCCATCAATGAAGAGGACTAACTCAAGTCCAAATGTCTCCGATATAAAAGTCACACACCAATACTATATTGGACCCACAATACAAAACAACTTATTCAGCTGGTTGAACTTCTTTAACAGTAGGAAAACATTAAAAATACGACAGCTCCGGCCTGTCCTGAGGCAGTTTCTTGTGTGGCTCTCTAATTTTCATTCTGGAATGTTGTGCATCTGGCTGTGGTACACAGAATCCTTTTTTTTTTTTTTTTAAAGATTTTATTTATTTATTTGACAGAGAGTGAGACAGCGAGAGAGGGAACACAAGCAGGGGGAGTGGGAGAGGGAGAAGC